CAACCTGCATGTCGCCTTCTAGCTAACTGTACATGGGAGTCACAACCTACTCTCTTCTTAGTATGATCGTGACATTCGCTCCCACTTAAATTAGTCATTATTCTCAATGATTTTCTCCCTCACTTTATCTCGACGTTGTCCAAATGAAGATCTGAACTTTGGACAGGACGTTGAATGACCCATTAGAAACAATTGTATTTCAAAATGAATATGAAAACTGCACACTACTTTTAACCTATCTCACTGTTAGACCTTCTTCAATCTTCGAGACTGCAACATAAGCACGATAAACATCAATTATCCAATGGTTGTAGACTGTCCCATCTAAATATTGGCACACTTACATTCTGAGACATTTTCCCTTTTGCCGAAGTAGACATCATTTTGGTGAAGGATCATGCGGCCTCGTGGAGCATTCGTTTGGTGTGGAGCATTCGTTTGGTGTCTGAATGACACTGATCTTGGCATGTTTAACATATTTAGACTTAACTCCACAACCACATATCAAAACTCATGTCGAAACCTAAATTTTTTAGGTTATGGCCTAATGCTCTATCTAGCTCCATTTAAGTGTGTCGTTGACATCCTTGACTTCACTATTACCTTTGAACTTGCTTATTCCTCAACTTGGCAATCATGCACGCTCTTCTTGGTGTGTTTTATGATGCACATCCTCCTCAAACGTATCATAACACTTGTCTTTCTTGGCCTTCTTGTGGTTCGATAAGTGCCACTCACATGTCGCCTTCTGACGAACTACACATGAGGGACATAACTCCTTTTTTTTTCTTAATATAGTCGTAACGATCAACTTATAAGGCAATGGTTGCTTGAGTTTCTTGGTCTAGTATCCTGCACCTCGTGCTCATGATAGCTATATTCAACTGTGTTTTAGAAGTATTTTGTTGTGTTGTATTCAACACTAGAAATCTGCACTACTTTTATCGATTAGGTTAAAAATACATTAAACTTTGTCAGCGAGTCATAATTCAGGGTCGAGTCAAAGTGGATTAGCTCACAAACCTTGCTTAATACCAACATTGAATGGATAATCAAAGTTTTGGCATGATTAATTGTTTCAATTTAGCAACACTATCATAATGCTAAGCTTTTAAATTGTACACGTTTCATGACATCGTGATTATGCTCTTTATATTGATACATATTTTTTACTTATAATTTATTGAATATTAATGTTTACGTTGATATTTCATACAAATATATAATATAATAAAAATCCTTAATTTTAGGTTTAATAAAAATTTAAACTCTAAAAAATATCTAATAGTTTTATTAATTTTAAGTTTTATATCTCTCAAATATTTAATAGATGAATGATAAATGTCTTTAAAAATTATAAAATTTGTTAGACGAACATTAAATTAATTATTTGTTATAAATGAAATTATAAAATTAAAATTTAATAAATACTCTATATTTTTAAGATTAATTAAGGTAATATATATATAAATAAATAAAAGTAAATAAAAATTAAAGAGGTTCATATTGTTAATGTAAGTTCCACATCGGCTAATTTAGGGAATGATCATGGGTTTATAATCAAGGAATACGATCTCCGAGGCCCTTTGGAGAAGTCCAAATCAAAACCAGGAGAGCTTATACTCAAAGTGAACAATATCATACAATTGTGGAGATCTGTGATTCCTAACATGGTAACCATATCTACTGTTGTGGAGATCCGTGATTTCTAACATAGTAACAGAGTCATGCCCTAAACTTAGTCATGTCAGTCGAACAAAGTATTGTGAGCTTCGAAAGCATACTCAAAAAGTGACTAAAGTATCGAACAAAATGTGTTACTTTGTTCAAGGGGGAGCCCAAAACAAAATCATGAAGACTTATACTCAAAGTGGACAATATCATACCATTATGGAGAGTCGTGTTCATCTTTGACACTTTTGTCTACTCGTTGTCTCTATCTTGCTTATGTCTTGTTATATGGTATCTTGGATGATGCACGGTCCTCCTTGCTTAAACCATAAATATTGGGTTGTATGAATTTTTGAAAAATCAAAAAATTTCAATTCGTGGGTTGACATTTTTTTTATCGGGTTAAAACCTATTTTATTTTCACTTTTTTTTTTTTTTTTTTTTTTT